GCAGGGGAGTCAGGAAACTGGGTTTTCACGTGACGCTATCCACGTCTCGTAGCTTCAGCGTTTCTCCAGGTTGTGTCCTACGGTGGGCAGCTAGGGGTCAGCCTCAGACTCAGAAAGCGCATCCGCGCCCACTGCTTCATCCGGGCTGAGCCTCCCCGCGGGCTTGGGAAGGGGTTCAGGGGGTCGTGCTGGGTCAGGGGTCACTTTTCCCATTTTTTGTATGTGGCTGCTGAGGCTCAGAGAGGACACATGTGCCGCAGTTAGGATCAGTGGGCAGCAGCAAGAGCCCGACTCTCCTGCTAAAGGGGGCGAGGAAGCCCCTCCCCAGTGCCCAGCTCCTCCCTTTCTCACGGACTCGGCTTCCCAGCTCTGCCCTCCGACCCCAACGCCTTGGGAGGTGGAGCCGGCGGGGCTGGTGCGGGTGTGTGAAGTGTGGCAGTGCTTGCTGCCCCCCAGTGGCTGCTGCTTCACTTACAGGCTATTGACACCTCTTTTTTATTTTTTAAAGACAATTCTCATATTTACTAAGATACAACTGACATATAACATATTAGTGTCAGATGTACAACGTATTGACATGATATTCGTATCGTAAAATTATCGCCACAATGAGTCTAGTTACCTTTCGTCACTGTAGTTACAAAACTTATTTTTCTGTGATGAGAATTTTATTTTTTTAAAGTTTTTCAATTAGTTGACATTCAATATTATATTAGTTTCAGGTGTGCAGCCTAGTGGTTAGACGTCTATATCACTCACGAAGTGGTCCCCCGATGAGTCTAGCTCCCGTGTGACACCACGCATGGTTACTACGGTACTACTGACCACACTCCCCATGGTGTACTGGCACCCCGTGACTATCTTGTGACTGCCAGTCTGCACTGCTGAATCCCTTCCCTTTTCCCCCAGCCCCTCAGCCCCCTGCTATCCAGTTACCATCAGTCTGTCCGTCCTTTCGGCCTTGGCTACTGGACGTGGGGCTGGGTGAGAGGCGAGGTCTGTAGGGCCCCGCTGGGGCACCAGGAGCAGAGGGGTGCGCCTGGGCAGTGGTCCCCAGGGGAGATGCCGGGCTGATTAGATTGAACGCCGTGCGTGAACTACGTGCTAGACGTGGGCGTGAGAGGCGTTTCTGATTCCTGACAACCCGTGAGGTGGGGACTTCGCGTGCTCACGTGGTTGACAACCGCCAGACTGTGCTTTGCCGTCTGCGGAGAGAAACTGGACCCATCCTGTCTCCCGCCTTCACTGACAGGCCCTCCTCCTGCACCTGCCTCTAGTGGGGTGTGGGGGTGGCAGATGGCATACCCAGGCCGGGGCAAGCCTTTCGCTTCCCACTGCTACCAGCCTCTTTGCCTGTGTCTTCTCTGGAATCCCCAGGACCCCAAGATGTGGTGGCTTCGGCAGGGTTTCTGGGGGGAGTTGTGACCCAGGCCTAGCGGGGGACACGAACCTGGCTGGGATCTGGTGACCGGTGCGGCTGGTGTTTGTAGGAGTGCCGTGTCTGGAGCCTGCATGAACCCCGCCCGTGCCTTTGGACCTGCCGTGGTGGCCAACCGCTGGGACTTCCACTGGGTCTACTGGCTGGGGCCGCTCCTGGGCAGCCTGCTCGTGGGCGCGCTCACCAGGTAGGTGTGTGGCACAGGGCCGCTGGCCCCTCTGGTGGACACTTGGTGACAGCGCCAAGCGTCTGGGCCTAGAGGGCCAGAATCTCAGCTAGGTTTGTAGAAGAGGGAGCCTTCTTCAGAGGTGAAAGCCACGGCTCTGGCACCTTTGGTAGCAAGTGACAGAAATCTACTTAGGCCCTAAAGGGGAAGTCACCGGCCCACGGAACTGAGAGGCCCGCAGGCAGCACTGGCTTCAGGGCCCAGCAACGTCTTGGGACTCCGTCTGTCCCACGGCCTGTCCTGTGCAGGCTCCGTGCGGAGGCAGAGATGTCACCAGAGACTCCGGCCTGCGTCCCAGAGGTGCAAACAGAACAGCCGCAGCTGGGGCCCTGAGCTGCGTTTGGAGCATGCGCCCAGTCCTGCAGGGGGAAGGGCAGAGGCGCAGGGGAAGGGGATCCCCGCAGAAGTGTTGTGAAACCACAGAGACGGGGTGTCAGGGACGCCGGCACACAGCACAGCGTGGCCAGCCCACTGCCGCGCTGCGCCTGTGAGGAAGGGTTGTGCCTGTGGGGAGCCCCCCTCGGGTGCCCCCAGGACGCGCGGGGCCCTGATCTTCCTGCCCCAGGCAGTGCAGGGTTAGGGTCTGGGCTCAGCAGGAGCCGGGCCTGGCGGGGTGGGGTGGGGCTCGGGCACTGGGCGGCTGGTCCACGCTCCCTCCATCGGCCCCTCTGCGGTGCCGGCTCAGCCTGTGGTTCGGTGGGCACAGCACTGGCAGTTCTGGGATGGCAGAGATGGCACCTCCAGGAAAAGGGTTTCTCCTGCCCCAAGGGGATCCGGCCACCGGGGCTGGAAAATTCTGAAGAAGTCTGGGCATGGAGATGCTGATGAAGGCCTGGGGCTCTCCCCCAGAGACCTCACTGGGCCATGTTTTTGTAGGTTCTTCATTGGAGATAAGAAAACCCGTCTGATCCTAAAGGGACGGTGAGGCTGAGAGGGGCTTCCTGGCCCGTGCCCTCGACTGCGGGCAGCACGCCTGCATCCCCGCCCGGCTTTCCAGCGCGGCCCTGGCTCCTCGGCGGACAGACAGCCTGTTGCTAAGCCCTCAGGATGCTCGGGGGGCCCTTTGTGCTCACCGGGGCCCTTGGCCTGGGAGACATGCGGCCAACACCACCCAGAGGGAGGCAGAAGCAGCACACAGGACCATTTCCTGGAGAGGGGAGGGCCCAGGAGCCCAGGAACACAGGAGGAGGCGCTGTCGGGGGGGGGCCGCCCACCCTGGGGGCCCTGCTCACCCTTCCCCTCCCGGCTCCCTGGCTGCTGCTTCAGGGGACCGTGGTGCTCTGACCACAGTCTCCTGTCCCGAACTGCAGTCTAGCTTTCAATAAACAAGCCAGTGTTCTCTTCCGTGAGCCCATTCTCTTGCCTTTCATTTCACAAATGGGCCCTGCTGGGGAGGAAGCAAAAGTCTGGCCGGGCCTGGGCTGTCCAATCTAGTTAAGGCTCGAGTCCAGTGCCATTACAGGGACCCAGTGCAGGCCAGCACAGAGCTGGCCTCCCACTTAGCCAGAACCGTTAGCTCTGTCCAGAGCTGAGTCCAATCTAGAACCAGTCTGGACGCCAGTCAGAATCAATCCTAGACCATGGCTCAGGACCCTGCCGAAAAGCCGAGCGCAGGGCCCAGGGTCTGGAGTGGTAGCCAGGACCACCCCTGACGGCACGCCAGCCGGGGACAGGGTTTGGAGTGGGCTGGGCCAGAGTGGCAAGGACTTCCCGAGGAAACAGACAAGGAGGCGGGAGTCCGGTCTGGAGACAGTGCACGTGGATGGAAGACGTGAGTGTAACGATAAGGACAAGACAGGATAAGAAGACACGCTGAACGCCGCGCCCTACAAGAGGAGGGTGTGTCCTCTCTTTAAGAACCTAAGGGTCACTTATGGAAGATGATAATTATGACACCGTAAAGAAAAGCCAGGGAAAAATAACCCTCAACAACAAACAGAAAACTCACCCCAAATACTCATCTGAGTCAAAATGAAGAAAACGCTCACTGGTGAGTATCAACTTCTCTATGAGAAAATGGACACTACACACCCAAACACCCACTACATCAGAGAAAGACAAACACTAACCACCACCACAAACCTAAAGGAAAAGGAGGAAATAATATAAAATCAGAAAGGAGCATCAAAATGAAGAGGAAGTTTGAGGAATTTACATTGAAAAGCGAAGCGGCTCTTTGCTCTGCTTCTGTAAATGCGCTCGCTGCATGCAGGAGCTCACGCGAGAGCTCACATGCACTTCGCTTGACTTAATGTAACTGTTTGCACCCATAGCAGCCCCCGCCTCTTGTAGCACCTTGTACCTTGGCAGATCGTGCTTCCTGTAACAATTTGTAACCAGCGGTAACCCATAACAACTCACCCCCTTCCAACAAGGTTACTACTTGCAACCATAGCAACTCGTGTAATAGAATGGTATGAGGAATGTTTCAACATAGCTCGGGGCCCAGATCTCCAGACACTAGCTCCTCTGGGACCGCGTAACGCGTAATGAATCTGAGTTCTCCTTCTCTCCGAGTTACTGCTTCGTTCTTTGCTGGACTGGTTTTGGGATTTTTCCACATTTTTGGAGGCCCCAGCGAGATTCCAACCATGCTGGCCCCTTGAGCCACTGGACTGGTGGCTCAGTGGGGCCGAGGCAGAGAGGAATCGAGACTGAGGAGTCACGCCACCCGACAAATATTCCGGGTTCTCTTTCGGATCAGCACCCTGACTCCTGGTGACGCTGAGTCACAGAAGGGAAGGACCAACTCACCAGGAACGGCCACAGGAGGACAAGGTACCAAAGTAAAGAGGAAAGGTCCCAGGACAGCCCCCATTCAGACCCCGCCCGTTGGGCAGAAGGGGAAGCTGATCCCCTCCTGGTCTTCAGTAGGAAGACATTGGTCAGGGAACCTGACGAGTGTTCCAGGATCATCAGTCTCCAAAAGCGGGGGCGGAGACTGGGTCTCCCCAGTGGGGGAGACATCGGGTTAGGCCGGAGGCCTTCCATAGAGGGGGGAGGCACCGTTGAGCCTGCTGTATGAGTGACAGCTTCCTCAGCGGGGAGGCGTCAGGCCGAGGCAGGCCCCCACTGGCTGTGTGTACCAGTGGGGAGGGCTGATGTTTTGACCTGATGTGTGAGTGAGTGAGTGAACGAGAGGCTTGGTACAAGTTTGTACGTCCATGGCTGGGCACCCTTAAGGTCCCCTGAAGGCCATGGAGCTCGTGTGGGCTCACTCTGCGGGTCCGTGGTGAACAGCATATGGTCCAGGGCGGCATCGGACTACTGTCCGATCGTAAGTCACAAAGCTGAGTCTGCTACGGCTAAGCGTCACCTAAGCTCCCCGCGAGGGGACACCCACCTTTGTCTGTCTTTGCGTCACCGTCGCAGGGTGGGAAGAGTTTGGTCAACACTAAGAAAAGGGGGGAGCTCCATCACCCTCTGGAGGGCAACCAAGTGCCCTCCACAAGTTAGGGGGCACGTTAAGGAACGGTGGGAGGTTGCAGGAAAGACAGGAATGCTGAGTGACTGAGACATGGCCTCACAAAGAAGCGACAGCTGAGCCCCAATCCGCGGTTCCGTAGGTGACCTGCACACGGCTTACGGTGGCCTCACTGGATCTCCGTGAGGGGTCTGCTCCAGTGGTCCGGGTCGGGGGTTTATACCGACCGACCAATGCCAAGAGGCGCCTGAAATCCCCGCGAGGGGAGCGGCCGGAGACGGGCGAAGTGAGTGGCGTCCCCTCCGAGCTCCCCTGACCCTGTCCCCCACCCCGTTGTGGCGTGAGAGTTGTCTGTCGTGGGAAGCACGGGAGCCGCCTCAGATCTATATGAAGGAAAAGGAAACTGGCTTTGGTGACGGAAGGTATGAGGTCTGGAGACTTGTTCCGAAGGAAATGGAGGGAAAGGTGTTTGCCTTAGAGGTAGTTACTGCGGAAAGTGACCAGAGGCACAGTGAAGGAACAAAGACAGCGTGGGACGAGGTCCGTGGAGGGAAATCCCGAGGGATTCGTGAGCGGAAAGTGGACGAAGGTTTTCGAAAGGGATCTTGAGGAGAAATCTTACGTAATAAAGTGAAACGAGGCCGGAAGCTTGAGTCTGAAAGGAAGCCGGGGCGAAACTGGAACCGCGTTTCGTGTTTCTTAGGCCACGGGTCTGACGCGAACGTTACGAAGAGGTTTTCTGAGTAGGAAACTAGGATTCTGGACTCCATCAGAATCATTTCAGCGTTTTACGTTGCCTTAACCAGGTTTCTGGGACTTTGGAGAATATACTAACACCGGCCTCTGCACCCAATTTTCAAAGGAAGCTCCCTGCAAATATGGGGCAAAGTTCTTCTAGGCCAACTGTCTTAAATTGTGTGCTGAATTTTAAGAAATTTCTTAAATTTTAAGAAAAGTTTCTCAGAGGAGTACGGGGTCAAGCTGACCCTGGAAGCTTTGTACTCTTTGTGAGCTTGAATGGCCTGCCTTCGGGGCAGGCTGGCCCCTGGAAGGGACCCTAGACCGCCCCACGTTTGGTGCAGTGTATCAGGTAGTGACAGGGACCCCTGGACATCCAGTTTCCGCACACAGACACGTGGCTGCAGGTCGCTCCTGTAGTGCCCCCGTGGGTCCGGTTTTGTGCAAATAGGCAGGGGGAGTGTAAGGTCCTGGAGGCCCGACCAACGCGGAAAAAGAACAAAGAGCCAGCAAAAATAATCCACCAAGGGGACCCCAAAGAACAACCTGTCTTCCCACCGCCGTGCATCCCAGCGGCTCGACCAGCTCCCGCCCAGACACTCCGCCATCCGTGCCTTCGCCGCCCCAACAGCCTGGGCGACCACCGAGCCCAAGTCCACGGCGCCTCCGCTCGGCCACGCAGCCAGTCCAGCAGTCTGCGGCCCTTCAGATGGCCCTCCGAGAGGCGCGAGGACCTTAGAGGTTGGAGAAGATGGCACTCCAGCCAGGCCGTCCTGCCTTCCACTGTCAGCCATTCGGCACGACCGACCTCCACAGCTGGAAGCAGCACACCCCGCCCTATTCGGAGACGCCCCAGGTGATGACGGATCTGCTCAAGTCCATCTTCCAAACTCATCGGTCTACCTGGGACGACTGCATTAGGAAACCCGGATCCGGTAGGACAGACTGCTGCCCCCCCATGGAAGAGAGAAGCCCAAAGGAGCCTCCACTACGCCACGACCAATGCGACGCTGCAGAGAGACCGGCCCCTGGAAGAACGAGAGCCCCCAGCGCAGGAGGATGCCCGAAGGGCTAGAGAAGTTCAATCAACCTCGTAAAGGAAAGCACCAGCCTGAGCCAGCCGTCCAAGAGCTCACCGGCCTAGTCAAAGGACAGTTGGACTAGAGGCGACCGGGCTCCCTGATCCTAGGCCCCCCGGAGCCTACGGTCGCAATAGACTGTTATGGTGGACACTGGGGCTGAACACGCTGTGGTCACTAAGCCTGTGGCTCCCCTCACGGACCCATCGTTGGGGCCACGGGGAACCGAGTCGCTCGCTTGTTCTGTAAAGCCGGCTCATGTCAGCTAAGAGGCCACCTAGTGACTCATGAGTTCTTGTGCCTACCCGAGTGCCTCATTCCCCTTTTGCGCAGAGATTTACTGACAAAACTTGGAGCACAAATCATCACTACCTCAGGGAAGCCCGCCCGTCTCATGCTGAGGGGCCAGCCCGCTCTAAGGATGGCTGTGACGGTGCCCAGAGAGGACGAATGGCGTCTTTACTCTTCGAGAGAAAAACAAACGAATTCGACCAGTCTGCTAGAAGAGTTCCCTGCTGCCTGGGCAGAAAGAGGGGGCCCAGGTCTAGCCAAAGATAACGCACCCATCGTGGTATATCTGAAGCCAGGGGCCATCCTTGTCACACAAAGGCAATATCCAGTGTCACGGGAAGCACGCCTGGGAACTCGAGACCACATCCAGAGTCTGTGTGGTGCTGGACTTCT